AAATATTAATGGAAAATGTTAATTAGCTGAAGAAAAAAGAATATATTATCTTTTGACATTGACTATTGCTCTGTATTTTCCTTGCACAGAAGACACTTTGGAATTGCTTTCCACTGGTTATTTGTTATTTGCTGTTTGTAGGTGGTTCTCTAAATATTGCAAGTTGCAGGATAGTGTCTCCTAGCAGGCTTTCCTCCTCATTTCTTCAGCAGTGAGGGGAGTCCCAGAGTGATTCTACCTGGCCCAAAATTTGTTTATTTTCATTCTTGTGGGAGGTATTTATGCTGTATTCAGTTTGTTGTAGCAGTTATTACTCTATGTGTTTCTGGAAATGCTGCAGCGTTCAGACTGTGTTCAGGAATCACTTTTAGTGATTTAGTGATTAGTTTTAGGGTTCTTTTCTTTCCCTGACATCCCTCCTGATGAAACATGCTGTTAGTGAGCCCTGGACCATCACCCCCAAATCTGGAAGCAGTTTTTGGTAGCACCAGTGTCATATTCCACCCAAGCCTCCATTCATCTTGGTGCTTGATGCCATGAGAGGGAGGGAGCTTTGTGTTCCACATCCCTACTCCACTTCTGGGAGGAGATTTGTTTTACCCCCTGGAAATCCACGTGGAAGGAGATGATAATGCTTTCTCTTGTGGCTGTGCATGGGGAAGGCCACGAGAATCAGGCAGGAGAGAGTCTCTAGAAAGGGAATGTGTTCTTAATTGGCATTTTAGGGGTGTGCTGCATTGGCAGAAATAGTGCATTGTGGTGTGGGGAGCAGGGCTGTTGTACAGGAGGACCAAATCACTGAAATTCAGAGTCAGAAGTCATGGCTGCTCATCTTAATACCAGTAAAGTCTCCTTTAGGATTACCACCAGCTTTAAATCAAGGTAATTACATGATGGGAACCAATGCAGGACACCAAGATAATTAGACAGCACTTTATTTATCAACTTAAAGTTGCTTTATGAGAGCTCCTCTGTGTCTCCTCAGCACAACCAGGAATCCTTTCCAAGGCATTCTGTTGGGAAGAATTGTCAGTAGCAACGAAACTGTTCAGCTTTTTTAAGAGTTACCCCTGGTAACTGGCTGGGCAACCTCAGAGATTTTTGTAGGAACCAGCTGAGTGATGGTCACAGTTTTGCAGGAGGAGTTGGTACAAGGAGAGCAAATGAGTTATGTGGGAAACTCATAAACTCTTTTGATGTAGTAAATACATGGCTGTAGGTATTTGTAGGATATTTAAGTATTGGCTTTCATTTAACTTGAATTGTGAGGATCTGACTGAGTACATCTTCATGAAGCACTTCATGAATTGGTTCACAAAAGGGACCTGACCAAGTGTTGTATTTTACACTGTTGTTACACTAAAGGATCTGTTAGGATTAAAAGAAGTTGTAATGAGTTAATGTAGGAATCAAGTGCTTGTGTGAAGTTTTACATTTTTACTTTTTACCTAACCATCTAAATCCATGGAAAAAAAAATCAGGCAATGAATTTCTAACCCATTCTTTTTGTATTTTTTGTGTCTTAGTGTAGGGAAATGCTATTTTCTTCTCCAGTTTCCAGATTAATATGTAGTGTTAGGAAATACAATGACAAAATGTACTACTATTGCTTCTCCCAGTCATTTTTGTCTAGAGACCAGGATTGCATCTTCTAAGTTCTGTACTATTGTTTCCTCTCTATCAAGGTGTGCAGCTCTCTTGAAGTCACAGGAAAAACGAATGTCCTAGAAGCTTTTATCAGGAAGAGGAAGGTTTGGTTTTTTTGCAGGTTACTAGTTCAAAGGAAATAAGTTTATTGCATTTTAGATATTATTAAAGAATAGCACAACGTATCTGAACCAGAAACCTCCTTTAGCCAGTGTGAAAACCTCCCTTGTGAGGACTTCTAAAATACAGTGAAACAGGTTTGAGCATGGAAAAATAATGGTTCCAGTCTGAAGGAGATGAGCAAAGTGGAACGAAGGAGAGGAGCTGAAAAATTATTCTTAACTTCATAGATTTGATCCTGATGATGTCAAATTGCCCCGTGGCTGAGGCACCTGCCTGTCGTGGGGGACACTGAATATTGAATTGTCACCCATGTCCTGTTGTGATGCTGTGAGAGCAAGCTGGACCTGCTGGGCAGGTCTGGAGAGGGGAAACCACCACCAAGCTGTGGGTCCATTGCCTGCTTATGTTTTGCAGATGAAACTGATGAGTTTGGACAGAATTCATCAGTTTCAGAGTTGACAGTGGTTAGCTTTTTTCTTCTGCCTTCACTCAGAGCCAGGATTGAATCCTCAAGAGACGGATTTCTTGTTCAGACTTGGTTGTTTATTAAATCTTACCTAAAGTACAGAGAGTTCTTTAGCACTTCCACTTATCAAGCCAAAAGTGAGAAAATGGAGGTGAATATAGCTAGTTACAGTCTTTTAAAGCCTAACTATCCAATTAAGAGCTAACATCTATATTATTTATAGTTTTGACTCAATAACCAAACCTGTGTGACCTGCAGTTGGACTGACTGTCCAACCAAAAATCCAAAACTACTACCTGAAAGCATGGAGGAGAAGGAACAAGAAGGAAGAAAGAGACAACACCCAAAATCATCCAAAATCTTGTCCCATACCTATATTCTAAAGCCCCAAATTCAAAACCATTCTCCATATGAAATTACACAGTTCTAATTACACATCAGTGATTGTAACTTCATCATTCAATTTTGGAAGCCTTCTCCAAGGCCTCGAGTCAAAACCAGTGTTTCCTTGGGGGTCAGTGCCAGAAAGCACAGAAAGCTTAAAACTCCCAGGCTTCAGGGTTCCAAGCCAGAGTGGCTGCCATCATGTTTTCAAGAAGCTCGTTCTGAAAGGATAAATGCATCACTTTAAGTTTGCTCCTGAGTGATTTGCCTCAGCCACTTCTTGCCAGGTGATTTTCCTCAGCAGTCATGGTTCCTTCAGGCAGTGCAGATCCATGGCAAACAGATCTGTCTCATCCCAGGAGATCCAGGATCTGTGGGAACCAAAACCAAAATTCCCTTTTGAATTTTTATTGCTGTTTCCTTCTTAGAGATGCAAACCTTGGTGCAGAGCAGCCTGCCTAGGGCCCTGTGCTCTCAGTAAAGGACTGGATGATTTCTCTTTGTGTACATGGCTGAGGACTTGATTCAGAGCTAAGAAATATTTAGCACTGGATTATGTTCTTTCTGTAAGATTAGGAAAGATATTTTGTTTATTGATGTAGATAAAAATACTATTGCTTTCTTATCAGAGGGGGGTATAAGTGCAGGGGGAAACATTTTTCCCACATAGACAGTAGAGCAGCTCAGTCATGGCAGTGTAGCAGTGCAGATATATCCATACAAAACACAAATATGTGTGCACATAAATGTAGAAAATAGGTATATTTATGGTTCTTTACAGCACAATCGTATTTCTAATACTATACACCTGTGTCTCTTCTGTACATCCTAATTAACAGTAAAAATAATGTTTTCAGAGCTCTCTTTTTTTTAAGTGTCCCCAAAATTAAACAGCAGTTGAAAGGAGAATGATGAAATAATGCAAATAGCTTAACTCAGCTGATTCATATTCTCCCTCTTTTTTTTTTTTTTTTTGCTTCCTTATCTTTTTACTTAGAGCACTGATGCCCAGTCCTGCTTCTAGGGGCAGTGACAACCCTTCAGGTTATCAAACACAAGATGAAGCTGCTACAGTGGCCACCTCTAAAATATCTGTCATTGTCAGGTGTTAAAATGTCCTAGCATGTACTGAGATTTATTTCATTTCTCATTATCATTAATTTCCAAACTGAAGGGGAAGAATAAATAAAGGAGATGTGAGCTGAAGGGGGGGAAAAAAAAATAAAGGAGATGTGAGGGGTGATGAACACACCCAACAAAAGGAAGTTCAGATTGCAGATAATAAATATTGCAGTGTTGCCATACTGTGTATTAATACTTTATATTTATAGTCTGTTTTCTTTTATACAGTATTTTGTATAAATTCACCTGTTCTGCTTCATGTTGATAAAGAAGTGGTTACTTGGGGAAATGTGTGATCAAGCAGTTGGAGACTGTATGGCCAAGAAACGAATTTATTTTTGTGCTTGTAGGAAACAAATAAATGCCAAAAGAAGAATATCCTTTATTCTAGATGTCTTTATTTTAAATACCCGTTGTGTCTAAAAGTAGGTATAAACCTACTGAGATTTGATTGACTGGAAAATGCCTGTCAAACTGTTTACAAATAAAATTTTCCTTCTCAAACTGAAAATTATTGCAAGGCTCAGAAAAAAAAAAACCAACAAACCCCAGCAAGATTAGCAATCAATTGATGGCCCTCTTTAAAAGCAGGTTTGTCTGAACTTGTAACATTGTAAATAATTAGTTTTGTATCTAATGTGTTACACATGACATTTAGAAAACACTACTGCGAGACAATTTGGGAACAAATTAGATCAGAAGCAAGAAAGAGCTGCAGGAAGGACTTTAATCAGCTTTCATTATTTATTCCTGTATTCTGAGAAAATGATAGATGCCAAATACATGCCTTTAATCAAATAATGATTTAAATATTCAGATCTCACCATCTCAGTTAGATGCAGTGACCCAAATTTCAGGCATCCGAAGGGAAATGCTGTGGATAGAAGAGTTCTGTTCCCATCCCCTGCTGCAATTAATTTTGCCACTGATCCATTGTTTGTTTTTTGTCACTTTTCTGGTTTTCAGAAGTTGCCCTGTCTGCTGTTCATGGTGTTTTAAGCTAAACAAGACCATCCTTTTCATTTGTCTGTCTTCTGTGCAGCTTCACTGCCAGGCCACCTGAACAAATCAAATTGTCACAGAGTCCTCAGATAAATACAGCTCTGGGTATGGGTAACTGAGGTCAACTGAGGCAGAGGCAAAAGAAACTCACTCCTCTTCGTTGTGTCTTCTTTTGTAGTTAATCTGCTGGATTCAAAAACAATTCAAGGGGAGCTGGGCTGGATCTCCTACCCGTCACATGGGGTGAGTTCACTGGAGTGTGAAATGGCAAAGTGCTGCTGCAGACCAATGTGCTGTTTAACCATTGTTTCCTCTTCAGAGGACACCGTGCAATAAGGCTGGAGATGCAAAAATAGAACTTACAAGATGTGGTTTACATAGTTGTGGAGACTTCTCTTTAGAACACCCATCCCACTGCAGGTAAACGTCAGGAAGGGCTCGTTCCTAGGGGAGAAACATCAAAGAAAGAGGTGCACTGAACATCAGCAGCAAAAAGTTCCCTTTAGGTGCTGCTCCTTCTAAAAGTGTGTTTCTAAAAGAGATCATTGCTCTGCTTCGTGGTGTTACTTGCTAATTTGTTCAGATGGAAGTAGTGGAAGGTGAAAAATACGTGGAGGTAAGCAGATGATTGTAAGTACTGGTTTGTAACTTCTGTGCTGAATTGTTGCTGAACTGTTCAAGTTATGAGTTAAAGTATTACTTCAGAAATGTCCAAATAATGCTCTGGAGGTGGTTGGTGGTTGTTTTGTTTACTTTGTATCCAGACCTAATGAAAACAGGCATTCTATTGGAAGATTTGGAATTGCAGTCTTAAAGCACCTGTGCTTTCCGATTTGCTAACTCCAACATTTGTACACAGTTTTTGTCAGCAGACTCCTTTTAAAAATTTCTTGGTAATATAATATTGATGATTAAATAGTGCAAATCTGTCTAGTGGTGCTGATATGTGTTCACTCCCCACTTCCATGTCTCTGTGGAATGTGTATTTGTGTGTAGGAACATCTCATTGTTCTCTTTCTGCATTACATCGTGCAGATATGCAGGATGGCTCTTGCATTCCTGTATTCTGTTTCCCCAAACACACAAAAAAAAACCACTTGGCAGATTGAACCCCCATGTCCAGAGCTACTCTTGCTCTCAGAGAAGGCTGAGCCATCAAGTCTTTGCTGTAAGAAAGCGCCTATGAGATTTTCTTTTGCTGTTTTTTCAGCTTTTTTGTAGCTTTGGGCAAGTTGTTGATTCACCTTTATCAGTTTTACAGAATCAGTGTTAACAGTGCCTTTGGATCTCTGCCTCATGGGATTCCTTTGCTAATGTTTAACTTGTGCCTTCTTGATATTAAGCATTATGCAGGTGTTTAGCAGTATTTAAGGATGAAGGTTGGGTTCATTTTTTGAGTTTACACATGGATCTCTCTCTGGATAAAATTGTTCCATTCTCATGGGAGAGAAGTGGGAGGAGGGTTCAGATTTCTTCCTAGTGGCTTTTTCTGCTGACTTTTCCCAACAAGAAATGTCTCTAAACAGGATGTCCAAGAGGGAACTCTCCAGAAATTTCTAGCTCATCAGGGATTTTTTTTTTTGGTTGTTTTCATTTGCTCTTTTTTTTTTTTTTTTTGGTGAAGCCTTTCTCTCCCAGCTCCCACTGCTCCTCTGCTTTGCTCTCCTGCTCCGTTCAGCTCCTTGCAGCTGTGCAGATCTGCTGCTCTGCTCCCTGCAGCTGTGTCTCTCCTGCCTTGGATGCCTAAAGCAGTTGGTAGGGAATGATGCAGGGTATCATGGGGGCTATAAGGAAAACAGATGTGCTGCTTTACCCCACCAAAAAGGGCCCCCGGATCTGTCAAGGCCAATTTTATTGGCTTCTGCAAGTTTTTGTCAGGTAAATCCAGCCCAGCTTGTTGTTTGCGTGTGTTTGTACATGCTGTTCCTATTTACTGCCATATCCTGGGATATGGAAGCCAAAGTAAATCCTGGAATTTCACTGATGTTCTTACAAGTTAATGAAATTCTTAGTTAAAAATCGCATGGCAGTAAATTAATGTAGATCGTATGCTGTGACTTTTTTTGGAAGAGAACTGAGGCTCTAGACTGTAGTCTTCAAAATACCTTGAAGTATTTTCAGCTTACATATTGAAATATAAATGTAAAGTATAGAAATAACAATGTTTGTCCTATCCCAATTGGCATATTGCTGTAAAATGGTGACAACTCGAATGTCGTGTGAGAGAGGCGCCTTCTTCTTACAGCCCTTTATTTATAGTCAATTAATTAAACCTGGTAAATATGGCTGTGTCTGTCTCTGAGCTAACTAAAATATGAACTTAAACTTCAGTGGAAAAACATTATAATAAAGATGTCACATCATATTGAAAGATTGCTAATAGCAGAGCAGTGATTTACAAGGTAAAGCTGATAGAGCTGCACTGGAGGCTGTGACTCACAAATGAGAATATTGGTGTTGTGCCAGCTCCTCTCGAGCGTGCAGCAGTGTTCACATAAATGTCAGTACACCAAAGCTGGTGACTTACAGAGTTTTTAAAAATAATTTAACTGAAGTGTTTAACAAACCTCTTACTAGGTTAATAATTTTGTCCCGTTGATACATGATATTGATTGATTTTCTGGCAAAATGACCCAAATTGATTGGCTCTTGTTTCCAGCATTCGAGGGTTCTTCTTTATTCCTTTAAGTTGGCCTCGACTTGGGCATATGTAATAATAGCTTTCCAGAAATTCCTGAATATTCATGTTAAGGTTTGTAGCTCATTTGTATTCAGGGGTTTGTGTGTCCCACATGAGCACACTGTAATGGCAGTGGTTTAGACTCTGGTGAGCAGTATCACCCTGGAAGAATGTGATCTCTCCTTGAACCATCCCACACAGCCACAGCCTTGGCTCCAGGAACACTGATCTGGTCAAGCTCATTAAAACCCCCTCAGCACAAAGCATTGGCCCCTCCAGATAGCAAGGCACAAGAATTAAAAAAAAATATAATGGCAGGTTTTGCTGATGCTTGAGCATGATTGGCAGCAGCCACAAGGCCTGTGTCCTGTGCCACCATCCCCAGCACCTGCCCAGGCAACCTTTTTGTGATGCCAATCAGCCAAACCCCAGCTCCATTTCTATAGGTTTCATTAAAAGGGAAAGAAAGAAGAGCTACTTACTCTGTGCAGAGTATATTATTGATATGCTGATTAAGCATAATGCAAATGATCATTAACCGTAATTCACATAAATTACAGCAGCACAGATGTTGGGGGTTGGGAGGATAAAGCTAGTCACTTTAATAATATACAATAGAAATGTGATGGATAATTCATACAGGACAAAAGGAGTACAGTCTAAACGCTGCTCTGCATATTCATGGGAGGAATTGTATTGGTTTCAGCATCATTTTTTAAGGGAGAAAGATGTATCTGACTCCTGCTCCATGTCTTTTTTTGTGGAGTTTGAAAAAAATAAATATATTCATGACATAATCTGAGTCCATCGTTCTACAGTCACGCAGCTTGTGACTCAGTCTTTATGTGTTTATTAGTCAAATTTATGGACTTGAAATTTTTGGTCTTTTTTTTTTTTTTCATGTAGTCAGTAGAAAAGTAACAGAGAAATCACTCTTATCTTGTTTTGTTTGTAGCCAGAGAAGGGAATGCTGTGGCATTTTTTTGCTGTCATATAGAAGATAATTTTTAAAAAAAGAAACCAAACACACCACAACAGAAACAACTCTTAACAAAAAAAAAAAAATACCCAACCTCAATGAGTTCTAAATGGCTAAAGTTAATAAAATGCAGACAATATTTAAAAGACTGATTGGAAAAAATGATTGACAGCTTTTTAAATCCCTGGGGTTCTTCAGAAATGTTAGATTTCTTTGAGAGCTGGCCATACTCAGTGCCTTAAACTTTTGGCCACTTAGTTTGAAATCTGGTGTGGATAACTTGGCTTTTTCTAAGTGGTCACTCTGACGGTCATTTGAACAAATTGAGGTGATCATTCCAGTAATGGAAACTGTTTCATCAATAATTGGGGAGAGAAGGGCAACAATCCCTGCTCCTGTAATAGCTGGTGTTGTGCTGGGCAGGCCCAGCAGAGCCTGCATGACTGAGATTAATGAGAGTTTTTCCATCAACCAAAAATTGGGTTAGAATAAAAAAAGAAAAAAATCCAAGCAAAAGTGAGGAAAATGCCTCCTTTCTTATATTTCAAAAGCCTGCAAGTATTTTGTCACATTAGCCTGCCTTGCTGCCTACCCAGGCTGCTGGCAGCCTCCTTGGTTTCATTTGTTCTGCTTTCTATGGTTGGCTAATGTGTGGCCAGGTAAAAACTTCTGGGTCTTCTTCTTTTTGTGGGATATCATGGTCAGAGTGACTTCAGAAGAGCCTGACTTGTACAAGCATTTGGATGTGCCTTGTGACTAGGTGAAGGCAGAGTAGAATTTGTGCAGGGTACATCCTGGCTCTGATGAGGGTGCACTCAAATAAATGATGTTCAAGAATCAGTTTCTCAGGCCACTGTGGCTGGAAAGTTTCTCTGTTAAGGCAGAAGACATTTTGAAGATTAGTAACTATTTCCACAAGGTTTGTTTTCCTGCAGCTTCGTGTCTTGCTGTTAATTGCATCCTGTTCTGTGGAAGGTTTGGATTTTTTTTTTTTTAGTAGGTCCTTAATGCTGGTGGGTTTCCTTGTGTCATGCTTCAGCCTTCCTCTCAGCTGAGCACACGCAGAGTTTTTCTTCTTTGCACAAGTCTCACATTTTCACACCACTGTGGAATCTCAGGGCAGCTGAACTGCCAAAAAAACATCAAAACTGGACAACAAAAATAAAAAAATTAATCAAACACCTCATTTTAGGGTTTTTTTTAATGCTGATTGGCGTCTTAGCCTGTCTTCACTTTTTTCTGATACCAAACTTGACAACTAAGCTGTACTGTATATAAACTGGGCAGTGTTGCTGAAATTACTAGGTGGTTATGAAAATTAGTGTCTGAGTAAACCCAGTGCTATCAAACAATTGGTATGAGACAAAAGACTGAAACTTAAAGATATCTTTGTGAAATAAAAAATTAAGTCCTTGTTTTAAAAATGAAAACAATCATGTTAATGCTGTATACTTTTTTTTTCCTATCCATTAGCAGTGGAATTTCCTTAGTACTTCTCAAAACAATGTGTTCTGTTAAAATCAAGATTTATCTGTTTTGCCTGAGCTCTGGTCTCCTTACAAGCTCATACTGTTACCCTGCTTTCCACAATTTGTGTGTCATGTCTGAAATGCAGGCAGGCTACTGTGATGATTGCAAGTCAAATGAACCACTTGGGATTCTGGTTTTGTGAATCATAGACTTTGTTTCATCTTACAGTGAGTGGCTGATTGGGAAAATAATTTTTTTTTTTTTTTTTTGCTAATGTGGTCATTTTTTTTC